AATAGGTTTGTTTAAAGGGATCTATAAGGCCCTATAAGCGGGTCCTCTAGGGAGTCCTTTAAGGGTTTAGGGTTACTAACAAAAGTTAGGTACTGCCCCCATACAGTCACAGTCTATAATAGGGCTACTATTAAGGGCCTTATATATCTATATTATGAATATTATCCAGCTGGGACAAAGCCTCCAGACATCCGAGGTGCGACTGGGTTTAGCGGTTCAGGGGTTTAGGGGTTGTTAGGGGTTTGGAAGTTTAGGGTTTAAGGGCTTAGGGGTTTAAGGGTTTAGGTTTGAGAGGGTTTAGGGTTTACAAGGGTTTAGGGTTTAGGGTTTGAGGTTTTGGGTTTAGGGTTTAAGGGCCTAGCGCCTAAGGCTCTCAAGGGTTTCAGGGTTCAAGGGTTTAGGGTTTAAGGGTTTTAGAGTTTTAGGGTTTAGTGTTGATGCCTTCACTGAAACTTCCGGGTTCCACGAAGATTGAACCTTTCTGAATGAAAGGCAAGCGATCGATCCAACATCAAGCAGGCCCAAGCCTCAATCCAAAATCAATCAAGCTCAACACTTGTTTCAAAAGTTATCTATTGATTATTGACCCCCAAGTCAGGTACCAACCCTAAGCCCTAAACCCCAAAACCCCAAAAAAAACCTTAACCGTTAACCCCTAAACCCTGAACCTTGAACCCTAAACCCCAAAACCCCAAACCCAGAAACCCTAAACCCCTAAACCCTGAAACCCTTAACCCCTAAATCCTAAACCCCTCAACCCTGAAACCCTTAACCCCTAAACCCTAAGCCCCTAAACCCTAAACCCCTAAGCCCTCCCTCAACCCAGAAGCCCATGAAAAGCACCGGAGGTCCGAGCCTTCAGCTCCTTGACCTCTCGGGTGAAGCGTGCTTCATCCTGGAGTGGTGCCATGAGGTCCTGCAGGCATCGAAGAGTTCCTTATAAAGGGTCTATAAGGATTACTATAGGGGTATTATAGGTATATCTAAAAATTATCTTCCGTTATGTTTAATAGAGGATTATAAAGGGTCGATAAGGATTACTATAAGGGGTATTATAGGGGTTTAAAAGTGGATTATAAAGGGTCTATAAGGATTACTATAAGGGGTACTATAAGGGTTTAATAAAGGATTATAAAGGGCCTATAAGGATTACTATAAGGGGTATGATAGGGGTTTAATAGAGGGTACCCAGAGAGGCCAATACCCCTTGATTAAGGAATATGGCTTAAATTATATAGGGCTTCATATTATGATTTAAGCTATATTCCCTAACTAACTGGTATTTATGATTTAAGCTATATTCCTTAACTGAGGGGTATTCGACTCGCAACGCAAGGCTTCCTCTTCTGGGATTGAGGATTTAAGAGGTTCAGGGGTTTGGGGCTTCGGGTTTAGCGCTTAGGGCTTTGGGTCTAGGCTTTAGGATTTAGGGTTTAGGGCTTAGGGTTCAAGGTTTAGGGCCTAGGGCTTAGGGTTTATGCAATCGGTCATGCAGGCTGTCACGAAACGAAACACTTGGCGACTAAATGGATGCCGATTAAGAATTAACTCCAGCTAGCCATCACTTGCCTAGGGTTTAGGGTGCTGCTGCTGCTGCTGCTGCTGCTGCTGCTGCTGCTGCTGCTGCTGCTGCTACTCATGCCTTCTTGGATTGTGGGTGTCGTTATACTCAAGTTCATCACCTGCCCAAACGTCTCTATCAGACTGCGCGTCTCTATAATATCTAAGCACTGTTAACACTGTTGCATCATTACTCGGCCATGTTTAAAGAGGTCTTAGCAGGAGATGCTTCTACGATGGTGGCAATACTCTGTGCTACCGCATGCTGTTGGATGCCTGGTCTGCTGTATCTTCATACCAATACGAACAGGCTGTTGCATCATGCCGCTAAACCAAAAACCCCTAAACCCTATACCCCTAAACCCTAAACCCTAAGACGGTCAGAGAAGGGAAGACCTGGGTTCGTCCGTGGATGACCCCTGCCAGGGTACACTACTTCCTCGAATCTCAAGTCTGTGTTTAAACTCATTCAAGCAAACTCTTGTGAGCACAATGCTCGATTTTATAGGACTCTCATAGAAGCCTGATGACTTATGGGAAACTTTTCATAGAACTCCACAAGCCTAAACCCTGAGCCCTGAACCAGAAACCCTAAACAGATTCCAGCTATTGTCCGATCCTCTTGATCTTCCTGCGTCTGCTCTTTTCTTACAATATACGGTTGATGATACAAACGCTGCATTGCCTTAATGACCCTAGCCCTAGACTATGGGAATTATGTCCTTGCTATGGGTAATGCAGGATATTTTTATCATGAACCCTAACTCCGAACAGGCAACTACTTCATGCGGTTTCCTTCGGTACTCCCCAAGGATTAGCGAGCCATCACGACCAACAGATTGCTTAGTGTCACGGGCTCTGGGTTTATAGGGTGTAGGGTTTGGGGCTTGCGGTGTTAGGTTTCAGTATTGTCTTGTTAGAAAGGAGGGTTTGCTCGGTCAGCTGTTGCCATGTAGGCTTGACCTACCAGATGCGCAGCCTTTAAGTGCTTAGAATATCTGCGTACCCTAAACCCTAAACCCAGACCCTAAACCCTAAACCATAAACCCAGACCCTAAACCATTTGTGAGCCTCGATGGAGACTGCGCCCACCGGCGGGACATGGAATTCGTTCTCGGGGACGGCCTGCAGGAAAGTTTGGTGTAGGTTGGATACTGCCCCCATACAGTAACAGTCTATTCGCCTCGGCCCCGGCCGAAGCGGTCAGAGGTTCCTATTCGGATTTCCTCTATTCCCCACCTCTTAATCCCCTCCCCAGTGACCCCCCTCCCCCCCCGCCTCCTCCCTTCCCTCCTGCCCCTCCTCCGCTCGCTGACAAGTGCGAGCTTTCGTAGCATCTTTATGTGTTGGGGTTGACCCTACCCTAACCCCAGCCCTAACCCCAGCCTGAAAAACTTTCAAAGCCCGGACAACACCTGCACCCGAAAGCACGACGCCCCCCTCTCCCGCCCTGCCCCCCCGCCTCCCCTCCTCCCCCACCCTCCCGCCCCTCCCCCCCTCGCTGACAGGTGCGAGCTTTCTGGGAATTTCCGACGACACCGGACGGTGCACATTTCGTGTCTACTACGCGCAGGACCCTACAAAAAGAAGCACCCTGCATTACCCTAAGGCCCCAAAGTAGTTCCTTTTTGGAAGTACCTTATAGACTTCCATATACGAACCCCAAAAAGGAACTACTTTGGGGCTTTAGGGGAACCTGATGTGTAGTGCAGCAGCTACACAGTTGGAACAACTTTTCTGTGCGCACGCACCAGCCCTAAACCCTAAAATCCAAAACCCTAAACCCCCTAAGCCTCGACCCTTCAACCCCTACATCTTAAGGCCCGAAACCCCAAACCCCAAACCCCCAAACCACCAAACCCGAAAACCCTCAAACCCTTTATTTGTTTCTGAGCGTGAATATCTGTTTCTGGTGTTAAAAGTCTGTTTCTGAGACCAAAAGTATGTTTTACCGAAGACCTTACCTGTGTGACCTCACCTTGTCTGCTCCGAAAAAACCCCAGCAGGGTCTTAATCATTGTTTGGGCCCCTATGTTGGTATCGAATTGATGGCTTTGCGTCTCAGGCTTGTTTTAGACGCCCTTTCATTGGGATAGGCGGAGTAACGTGGTTGAAAAGGCTGTGATACTTCCCTAATCCAAGACGTCCACGAAATCCACAGCCTCAACGGCCCATACTTAAGGCATCCCGCCGCTTCGAGAATCTTGGTATCCAGTGTTTCGGAATGACGACACCAAAATTCGTACCAATCATCCTGCTTCGTGTTGCTATGAACATTACTTTTACTATAAGTGCGATTCCAACTGTTCCTTTTTTCCTACAAGAGCTTGCTGCAGATAGTGGCCACTCGCCGCATGCGCGTACAGCCGGGCCGAGGCGGACGACGCGCAGCGTTTCAAATTATAGGGCTAGTATTAAGGGCCTAATAGGTCTATATTCTGCATGTTATCCAACTATTAGGGCTTCGGAACCCCAGAGAGCCCAACACGGAACTTTGCGATTAGGATGGATTGGGGGAGAAGTGTTCAGGGCTTAGGGTTTTGAGTTAACCTATGAGGGCTTACTGCTTGGGCTGGGGGCCTCAAGTTGAGGCTATATAGGGTTTAGGGTTTAGGGTTTAGGGTTTAGGGTTTATTGGGGGCTCGGTGCTTTGAGCTTCCGTAGTGGGGAAGAATCAGAGGCGGGGATGAGTCCTTTTATCATAACCCTTATAGCAGCCCCGCCGGTCATAACCCTGAAAGTAGCGCTTAGAACAACTCTTTTCGTAGCCCTTGTAAGAACCCTTTTTGCAACCCTTCTCGTAACACTTACTTACGGGAGCCCTTCAAGTGACCCCTTCAGCACCCCTTCTCCTTCTGGGATTCGGCCTCTCGGGAAGTTATTGGATACCGGCCGGACGAAGCTCCTCTGCACTATAAGCGATTCACAAAAGCAAAGACTTCGCGAGGGGCAGAGCCGGATCGCTCTTCTTTTGCTGCCGGCCTTGCCGCACCTGAGTGCGAATATGGTTTGTGCGATTTAGGTCTCTGTCTCGAGCTATACCGCGCAGTGAGGTCCGCCCACACCGGCATTTCACTCTTGAAGAGGTCAGTTTAGAGTCTACTTGGGGGGTCGGGGGACTTAGTAAGTAGCTAGTAAGAAGACTTATAAGTACCCTAAAAGGGACCCTAATTGGGGTTATGGTACTTATAATTCCAAGTACTGGTGGCTTCGTAAATGGAGCTGGGCGTGTGCTGACACTCTCTACGCGGATGGAGCCCACTGATGCAAGGTTTGCAAGTGAGCTGAAAAGATGCGTGCAGCCTGCTTTCAGCAGCAGAACCTGTACAACACCCTGAGGGCAGGGAACCGAATTTCGCCCAACATAGTGCCTCACGGACTCTCGAGGACGACATGGAACTGTCAGAGTGGACTGGCCAGGATTGACTAGGTCCATGGGCTCACCTCTGCGACAAGGAGAAACCGTCCCTCTGCAGCTTCATGATGGCGATAGCGGTCACGGAGACCACTGGCAGAAGGCACACCGCGGGGTGGTCTAGCAAAGTCCGTGCTCGCCCTGCCTTCTTGCCCTGTGCTCTGTCCCTGTAGGTCGCCTGTGAGGGCATGATCTCCAGGGCCCGGCCCACTTTCCGCGTGCCGAAAACGCAGTCCCAGAGACCGCCGATTGAGCTGAAGGTGTAGTTGCAACCTTTGTGCCCTTCGTGATGCCAATCGTGGTGGTGCGGCATCTGCGCAAAGGGAAAGTACCTCTGCAACTGGTGGGCCAAGTTGAAGCCACAGCTCACACCAGAGTGCTTCTCCAAGCTCTCGAAGATGCGGAAGATGTGTGAGAACCAGAAGGTCCCGTGGTCAAGGGGAAGGAGGGCCTGCGCACAGAAATGACCCACCACGGCATTGCCGAGGTTGTCCAGCCAGTGGTCGTCGTAGGTGTTGCGGGACAAGGGGTGCTTGGCCCAGTGGTGGTAGGAGTGGATCTTCTCCCAAAGGAATGGAACCACATGAAGAGCTCGATGCATCCAGTACATGCCGAAGGACATGAGGTAGTGATTGGATACAAGACGAAGCACACGCTCATGAAGAGGTGCCACATTGCCAGCCGGTGGGTAGTAGCCGGGAATAGCATAATAGAGACCGACATTGAAAGCGAACTGGCTGAGCAGGGTTAGACGATCATGGAAAAGGATGGTCTGCAACTGCTCCATGTCTCTGCCGCAAAGGTCTCTCTTCTCCTTTAGCGCATGCTCGTTGGGAGGCTGCGTGCGGAAACGTGGGAAGGTGAAGAACACGGCCTCAAGGTAGGTGTTGTAAAGACGTGTCACAGCAGCCTTCGTGCAAAGGAAGGCAGCCAGCTCTTTCAAAGTCCAAGACCCCTTCGCATTCACCTTCTCACCGGGTAGAAGGCAGGCTGCAGCCACCAGCGGCCCCAAACTACCAAGCTCCAACAAAGTCAGGGACCAGTCGCCGCTCAGCAACAGAGAGGAGAAGTGGTGGCGAAAGCTCAGCTTCTCGGACGGATACTCCAAGGTGTACGCCATTTCCTTGGACTGTCCGGACATGACAGCGACAGAGCAATGGCAGCGAGAGGCGGATGATGCCCGAACTTCCGGCCTTGAGCCGAAACCGAATTGAGGATCCAGCAAGGCTCGCACCTGAACGCTAAACAGAAAAGTCTAAACCCCAAAACGCTTAGGCCCTAGTCCACATCAGGTCCCCTGAACCCTAATATAGTACCCTAAACCCTAAACCCTAATATAGTACCCTAAACCCTGAACCCTAATATAGTATCCTAAACCCTATAAACCCTAATATAGTACCCTAAATTTGCGGAAGGATTTGTTCAGTCCGTGGCCTGCAGGGTCTGAGAGTCTCTAAGTCTAAGTCCGTGCCTCGCGGCGCTTCGTCTCGACGCTCCCCAGGGGCTCCTGAAGAAAACTTCAGTGGCATTTTGGTTTAAATACAGACGTATACATATATACATATATGTATGTATATATAGATGTACATATACACACGTGCATGAGTAAATAAATATATATATATATGTGTGTGTGTGTGTACCAATGCAAAAAATATATGTGTGTGTATCTATTTATTTATGTGATATGTAGGAATAATTACATATATACATCTGTAGATGTATACACATAGATGCGTATACATATATACCTAAATATAAATACAAATATATGAATATACAGACATATTTGCATGTAACTATTTATATATTTATGTGACAAGGAAGGCTTACAAAGAAATTGTCAGGGTCTTTGATGGCAATAAGTCTTGACCAAAAGTTTCGATCGAGTTTTCGTTTTAGAACCTGATTTCGACCCTAAACCCTAAGCCCCAAGCGCTAAACCCTAAACCCTAGGCTTCGCTGAGCTGGTGACTGGGACTGCAACTGGGGTTTGGGGGTTTGGGTTTTAGGGTTTAGGGTTTATGGGGCGCTGGGCCGGGGGCTGGGCCGGCTGCAAATGATGGTTTAGCGGGCTGAGGGTGACGAAAGAGACACAATTTCTGCTCATGTCGCTCTTACAGTAGAAGCCAGAAAGTTGGAACATCACTCGCCTCGTGCCCTTAAAGCAAAGTATAAGGAATCCCAGCATGAATCATCATAAACCTATGTTCCAACTTTCTGGGGTTCACTATAAGGGTATAAGGTTTAGGATTTAGGATTCCATTAAGGGTTTAGGGTTTTGGGGTTGAGGTTCAGGGTTTTAGGATTGTATCTCAAAGGGCTCCACAGGTGGAGTTAAGGCAGGTGGGTGAATCCATAATGGCAGCAGAACCTATCTGTAGGGTCATTCATCCCATCTTTGAAGCCCTTGATTCTAGGGTTTACAGTAGAATGACATGCTGGGATACAGCGTTTGGTGCTGAGAGCCCAGGAGTTGAAAGTGCAGCACTAGTTTGCATGCGCATCTTGGTTTCTAGATGTGCTTGAGGCACCTGGCAAAGAGTTTATCGACATTAACTTCGCGCCTTGAGGGGCACCTTCGAACTATAAGCACTTATGTGGAGACAAGAAAGCATGAATTCGCTGATACGACTGCGCGACTCTATGACGGAAACCAGAGAAGGGCGGCCGAACAGCGCAAAATATGGCAACTACATTCAACTGTGATATACTGATACACGGCGCTGGCCAAAGAGCATTACGCAACGTCAGTAAGGTATCGTCGCCATATGACCCAAAGCGGTAGCAGGCTAGCACAGCAGAAGCCAGATCCAAACGTGACAAGATAACAAACTATCCTATGGATCACTTGCTGACAGACTCAGCTTTCTTAAAGCCATGGCATTGCAACAAGCCACTGGAAAAAACAGTACCATGCATAAAGATTTCAGCCTCAGCGGATTTTCCAACCTTGCAGATTGCAGACATGCAGTGTTCAACCAATACCGGTGGAAAAACACGCATCAGCAAATCAAGATTTCTACATGAGGTCGCAAAGCTGTACAACCCAGTGACTAGACCATAGAATTGTACAGCTGCCAGCTGGTGCAAACTTTATATCTGTGACAAAGTACTAGGACAGCACGCGTACCGTATGCTTTAACGACACCAAATAAAGCCATACGGTACATGTAACCACCCGACAAAACAGTTTGCCATAGTACTGATTATGCAAGACATTACAATGTAATATGACATAATGCAATACAAGAAAAAGTTGCAATATCAATATATATATATATATATATGGTACCCCTCCCCATTGACCTACCCTTTTTGGTCTTTTTGAAAGGCAAGGGTGGGTCGGGGCGGGGTGTACCCGAATGGAGCGGCGTTCCCAAAGACCTAGTTTCTTAAAAGACTCAATCTTTCGGAGGTCGAGGGAGACTGTATCCAAAACAAAAAAAATTCAGGCCTCGCAGCACCTTGGAACTCTGGGCGCTGCAAAACACTGAGAGGCCTCAATCTTTTGGAATCCCGAACCTCAGAAAAATTGAGGCCTCTCAGTGTTTTGCAGCTTCCAGATTCCAAAACATTGAGAGGCCTCAATCTTTTTATGATTTTGAAGCCAAAACGCTGCGAGGCCCCAAAAGACTCAAAAGACTCAATCTTTTGGAGGTCTTGGGAAACTATAACCAAAATCAGAAAAATTGAGGCCTCTCAGTGTTTTGCAGCTTCCAGATTCCAAAACACTGAGAGGCCTCAATCTTTTGGAATCCCGAACCTCAGAAAAATTGAGGCCTCTCAGTGTTTTGCAGCTTCCAGATTCCAAAACACAGAAAAATTGAGGCCTCTCAGTGTTTTGCAGCTTCCAGATTCCAAAACACTGAGAGGCCTCAATCTTTTTATGATTTTGAAGCCAAAACGCTGGGAGGCCCCAAAAGACTCAAAAGACTCAATCTTGTGGAGGTCTTGGGAAACTATAACCAAAATCAGAAAAATTGAGGCCTCTCAGTGTTTTGCAGCTTCCAGATTCCAAAACACTGAGAGGCCTCAATCTTTTGGAATCCCGAACCTCAGAAAAATTGAGGCCTCTCAGTGTTTTGCAGCTTCCAGATTCCAAAACATTGTGAGGCCTCAATCTTTTGGAATCCCGAACCTCAGAAAAAATGAGGCCTCTCAGTGTTTTGCAGCTTCCAGATTCCAAAACACTGAGAGGCTTCAATCTTTTGGAATCCCGAACCTCAGAAAAATTGAGGCCTCTCAGTGTTTTGCAACTTCCAGATTCCAAAACACTGAGAGGCCTCAATCTTATTGATTTTAAGGCTAGTTTCCTAAGACCTCCAAAAGATTGAGTCTTTTGGGTCTTTTGGTGCCTCCCAGCGTTTTGGCTTCAAAATCATAAAAAGATTGAGGCCTCGCAGTGTTTTGCAGCTTCCAGATTCCAAAACACTGAGAGGCCTCAATCTTTTGGAATCCCGAACCTCAGGAAAATTGAGGCCTCTCAGTGTTTTGCAGCTTCCAGATTCCAAAACACTGAGAGGCCTCAATCTTTTGGAATCCCGAACCTCAGAAAAATTGAGGCCTCTCAGTGTTTTGCAGCTTCCAGATTCCAAAACACTGAGAGGCCTCAATCTTTTGGAATCCCGAACCTCAGAAAAATTGAGGCCTCTCAGTGTTTTGCAGCTTCCAAATTCCAAAACATTGAGAGGCCTCAATCTTTTGGAATCCCGAACCTCAGAAAAATTGAGGCCTCTCAGTGTTTTGCAGCTTCCAGATTCCAAAACACTGAGAGGCCTCAATCTTATTGATTTTAAAGCTAGTTTCCTAAGACCTCCAAAAGATTGAGTCTTTTGAGTCTTTTGGGGCCTCCCAGCGTTTTGGCTTCAAAATCATAAAAAGATTGAGGCCTCTCAGTGTTTTGGAGCTCCCACAGTCCCAAAGTGCTGAGATGCCTCAATCTTTTTGAGTCTTGAATCTCAAAAAGATTGGGGCCGCTCCAGGTTTTGCAGCTCTCACAGTTCCAAAGTGCTGAGAGGCCTCAATCTTTTGGAGTCTTGAACTTGGGGCCGAGAATATCTGGCCACATTAGTTTTCTGCTTCTGCTGCCATTTTTTGTTTGTTTGTTTGGGGCCCTGGGCCCTGTTACTCTGTTACTCTCATACTCTTATACTCTATGACTCATTACTCTATTACCCTATGACTCTATTACTCTCTTACTCCAAAAGCTCTATTACTCTATTACTCTAGTACTTTATTAGTTTATTACTCTGTTACTCTATTACTCTATTATTCTATTACTCTATTGCTCTATTACTCTATTACGCAAATACTCTATTACTCTATTACTCTATGACCCTATTACTCTTATACTCTCACTCTATTACTCTATTACTCGATTACTCGATTACTCTATTACTCTACTACTCTATTACTCTAATACTCTATTACTCTACTACTCCACTAACTCTATTTAGTACTCTATTACTCTATCTACTTTATTTCCTCTATGACTCTATGACTCTATTACTCTGCTACTACCCCTACTCCTACTACTACTACTACTACTACTACTACTACTACTACTACTACTACTACTCGTACGACTAATACTGCTATTGCTACTGTTACTGGTACTGCTTTACTACTACTATGCAGCACTATTACTATTACCATTACTATTACTATTACCATTACCAATGCATAAAGTCATGGAGCAGAGCCTGCGGGTCACGCGCTTCGCGCGCACTGTTTCTTGTACTATTACTCTATTCTTTATTACTCTATTGCTATTGCTCTATTGCTCTATTGCTCTATTGCTTTATTGCTTTGTTACCTTATTACTCTATTAGTCCTTTCGTCTTTTAGTCTGTGTAGTTTGTTTAGTCTATTAGTCTATTAGTCTATTAGTCTATTAGTCTACTAGTCGATTAGTCTATTCGTCTATTCGTCTATTAGTACAATTACTATTACTTCTACTATTACTATTACTATTACTCTTACTCTTACTATTACTTTTACTATTACTATGCAGCACTATTACCATTACCATTACTATTACCATTACCAATGCATAAAGTCATGGAGCAAAGCCTGCGGGTCACGCGCTTCGCGCACACTGTTTCTTGTACTATTACTCTTTCTTTATTACTCTATTGC